GTGCTGTTCGCAAGCACCGTCACTCACCTTGAGACCCAGTATTCATTACACTATAATGCTCCAATAAATAGACCACGTTTAGCACGCGGTAAAGAGAATATATCAGCCGTCACTGAGAGTGTACACGAGGACCGTGAAGAGCCGATTCGGTGCCATACACGGCAACTTGGACTGACGTATTGAATGATTGGCGCATTTTACGTCTCGATTTTAAATAAAAGGCTTAGAAAATACAAGCTGTCGTTTGGTTTCCTACACGTTGCATTAATGAACAGATTTATAAATAATTTCACATTTTTTGGCCGTTAGATTGTCTACCAAGATAATCTGAAATTACACCCTTAGACTTTTTCCTGTGGGAATATGTAAAGTCTAAAGTGTAAGTAGACAATATCGCTTCTCTTTAGGCCTCGGAGTAAAACATTATGCGTACCCTTCGTCAGTTACCCACGAGTTGAAATGATTGAACGATTCATCGAAAATTTAACTCAATGGAAGGACCACCTGAGATGTAGCCGAGGGCAACATTTGAAATAGATAAGTTAAAAAAAAATAGATGCCAAAGAATATTTTTTCGAAAGATAATAAACATTCCCCATTGAATTCGAATTTTTTGTGTTCTCTTCTACAAAAAAGATGGCAACTTTGAAATACAGCCAGCAGCATACAGCTTTAGTTTAACTTAATTCCTAATTTCACGGTCTAAAGTTAGATGCTTCTGTAAACTCAACTTACGGCAAGTACATGCTTCGAATCAAAATCTATTAATTTAATTTATATAGTATACAAATTGGTAAAAAATTTCCACGTCCTTTTCCTAATAGCATTTTCAATAAATTTGATTATTTTCGTGCAGGAATTTCACGTGCATCAAACCTCTACATTCTTGCCTGGCGTACATAAAATTACTGGGCTTACGCGAAGCAATACTAAAACCTAATTGTATTATATGAATGATACAAAAGTATCAATTCGAGTGCAATAAATATCCCTATTTTTTTTTAATCAACTTTGGCAAATATTCAAAACACATTTTCTTATATTTGAGTTTGCCAAAAACAGACTGTTGCTACTTACTTGGCTTCCGTTGTATCTTAGTTTTTTGGCAACACCATTTGCAGACAATTAATTTACATGTCTACCAAGTTCAATTGAGTTCAATTTGTTTGCTTTTTATTGCTAAGGCTGCCCAACTGAGTGCTTGTGTCTGCATAAAACTGTCCAAATGATTGACTGGTTGAATCGTTTGACTGGTTCGGCTCGTTTGGCTCGTTGACTGGTTGGCTGGTTGCAGTGCAACAATTGAATAACGGTTTAAATGGTTAGCTTACTTACAGCCAGACATGAAATTTAAGCGAGTTGATTTTGCTTTGCAAATGAACTTTTGTGTATTGCATATTTTAAGGCTTAATAAGCAGCAAAAGAAAGGACTAACGTAGGGCTGCGAAAGGAACGTACAGATTTACTATGTGTAAAGTGTTTTATTGTAGGCTTTCTGTTTTGATAGAATTTCTTCTTCTTTCCCTTCTTTCTTTGCCAGCTTGCTCAACCGTGCGACGCTTTGCTTTGATACTCATTAGTCTGGTTGTGTCTACCAGTGGCAGGCGGCTGCGAGTCGCCAGTTGCCAGTCTGCATTTTTCCATTAAATATATTTTATTCAATTAAGTTGGTGGCATAATCCTTTTGTCTGCAATAAATTGACCCGATTATGCGCGTTCTCTTCAAGCATCTGCTTGCCTGGTTCTGTTTTTTTCTACGCTCACTCAACTCTTTACTACCAGTCAGTTGCATGACTGGCGCGATAAAAAGAGGGACTTTAGCTGTCAGCGCCTAATTATATGCTAGACGAAATGAGTGCACAACAAAGCAATTAAAAGAGGAGTGTCGTGCACTGCTAAACCAATTTTATGCATTCAAACCCTTTTATGGCTATTCAACGGTTATTAGGGTCAGCAATTTAAAATGTGGCAGTGGCTTGTAATTGTCTGTCTGTCCTTGAAATACATTAATACAATTACATCCACAAGCCATTGATAATTCATTAACTCGTTGAACGGTTAAAAAGGGTATCACATTTTTTCACTCTTTTCTCGCATATGTATAATTTAATAAAAAGGCATAGATATTGGAGTTGAATTTCTGGCACCCTTTAGGAGTTTGAAGGTTAAGAAGCTTGAAGGGGCTGGAACATTTGCAGAAATTGCACATGAGGCTTAATCGGTCCAGTGAGGGTATATGTGAATAGAAATAATGTCAATAAAAATTAGTTTTCTACAATGGGTGTCATGTCTTCTTTTCATGGTCGAGATGACAAGCTGGTTAACGTCATGAACTAGCGCTGTCATATTCATTTTTAACTAGAAACTATATGATGGGAAGTTACGTAAGAAGCGCTCTGCCACTCTTTCACTCTTTTCGCTGTTTGGCGCCAGCTGGACATACCAAGTGAAACGAGGTCGCTCTTCCCTCGGTCCTTCCAACTAAGTGAAGATCATTCTTTTCCTTTTCTTCCACTATCGTATGCTGCATTGAATACTTATGAAGCTGGAGTGCCTTTGTTCATCGGATGGCAAGTCCTGGTAAGCATAACCGCTGTCTCTTCATGCGCTGAACTATACCTGTGTTGTCGTATAACTCGCAAAACGTTTCTCTCGAAGACTCGTCCAATGTCAACATCGTACATGCTTCCATACCATATAGTAGGCCGAGAAAGATAAGTGACTTGAAGAGTGTGCATTTGGGTCGTGGAAAGACAAGTTTTCAACTCCGCTGATATAATAATTGGTGTCAATGTTGGTCCCTTGTTAAACGAAACTATTTACGAACTTGAAGCTATAACTGTCAACAGTGACGTCGGAACAGAGTCGCAAATGCGATTTTTGTTTGTTTGATGACAGGAGTTATTTTTTCTAGTCCTCGTTCGATACCAAACAGATTTGCTCCGTTTCTTTCTCAAGCCTGGAGAAAGCAGAAATAAAGGGGCTGTTGTGAGGGCCTATGCCGGCTAAAATTTCTAGATAGTTGTATGAATTCGCGAAGGAAATAACAGATCTCAGTCTAAACGTACATTGCTACTGAGGAAAGTAATGCTTCTAACAGGTACAAGTCACCTACTATTTCCCTATCAAGAGATAATAAGTGGATAGCTTTGCCATGAAGATATTGTCCTCCATGGAAAAATTGTCGGCTTTGCGGAAGGCGCAAAATGTGTAATCGCTTTAACAGAGGAGTCCATTAGATTTCTTGAAGGCCGCCAAACAGCAGCTCATTTAATTAAATGAATCAACAAAGAGTCCAAATATGTGAGAACGGACAAGGAAAACTAGAAACTAGAAACTATCGAAAGGGGGTAAGAGTTGGTTCACTGCCAATAGTCTCTGATTATTCCGTACCTTCAGAAGTGTTTTAAAATAATGGAACCTAGGGTAACATTTATAGTATTAGAGAACTTTTAAAAGAGAACGAACTTTAGCTAACAATGGAAAACTTGGCATTTATGTAGATCTTTCTTCACAAAATATCTGGGGTAGCATATCTAGAACCTACACAAATAATTTAGACATCAATTCCACCGATTTACTTTGAGCTGCAGTTATATGGAGTTGGGTATACCTGAGTGGTAGTAACGAAAATGATTTATATGAAGGTTGCCGTTGTCAAAACCATAGTTCGAATAAGCAGGGGAGGAGCGCAATGACTCAATGTCACTCGCGGTGAGGCCTTTTACCAACACAAGAACTCGAATGATAGTATGAGAATCCAAGATGTTAAATGTTACAGAAGCGTTGGGGAGAGTCAGGAGTCAAATATTTCTAGCTTATTACAACATGTCACTTCGGTAAAGATATGTGTCTTCAGCAGCTTAGAGTTGTCCCACAGCACCGGAATATATGTTTTTCCATTAAAAATATGCAGATGATAATTTTATATATACAAACTTATATAAGCTTTAAACTGTTATACTTGTAATAAAATTTGCCGAGATAGGAAAATGTCTCTCATCTATAAACACAAGCAAAGGCCTCCAAAATCGCAAAGGAAAATTAAGGAATTCCCTATTAAAAACAAAATTGTTTCCAAGTGTAGGAGTATGTTAATAATGCCATATATAGTACATTTGGCCATTTATGCGTAACCACTGAAGCGATTTTCGGTCGAGCACCTCCTCAAATTTGTGGGAAAGGAACCTAGAGTCTTATCAAAAACGCCCCCGAACGGCGGATGGATTTTTACGAAGAACTTTTTGTTTCGTGTCATAAGTGCGCTTTGAATGATTGGTATACCCTACCAAGGATCAATATATGAGTTAGTTTTTCATTTTGCTGCTGATGGTACTAAAACGTACCATCTGCTAAAAAAAGTTTTTGCTTTTTTAATTCCGGCAATTTTCCCATCTCTTCACTGAATTGATACACTTTTCTGTGCTTTAAGGGAGAACAATTAATTTTCCAGAGGACTTTTGCTAGGAATCATTTTAATTTTATCTCTTTTTTCGTTTTTCAATTTCATCGTTTCAACTAAAATTTCTTCTTGTTTCCGTTAAATCATGGCCACGGGCTCTTACAACCCGTGGCATTTCAATTACTCATAGCACTAACTATACTTAAGTAACGCAGCTAGTTGTTTTTGTTGTAATACGCAACTGTGCCTTGCATTAAACTCGTTTAGTCAATTAGTTGCATTCAATACTGGAACTTTTGAAACTAAACATGATCCATTGAAATGAAAAAAGTAAAATGTAAAAAGTAAATTAATTTAGCAGCAGATGCCGAAAGCAAACATGTGCCACAGAGCAGAGCGAGAGCATTATCAGCGTAAAAATTGAGAAAAAGTCAATAGCAGAAAACTAAAATCATCATCACAAGAAACCCAATGCAACGTGAACTCAGCGTACCCTTTGCTACATTTAAAATTCTCGCCAATTCTAATTTGTATACTCATTTTTTTACCGCCACAATTCTATATTCTCCTTTTTTCTTACTTCCCTTTCTACTTTTAGGTGCCGGAACGTGTGCGCGCCATGAATGCCAGCATAAAACTTTTGCTCATTGTACGTGAACCGGTCACCAGAGCCATTTCTGATTATACACAATTACGAAGTCATGCAGCAACGGCCACGCTGCCGCTAGCCGATGGCCCAGCACCAGCTACACCAGCACCCGCTAAATATATCGCCAGCACTTATCAGAGACGACAAGCACGGTCAATTGATGTGGCGGGTTCTGGTTATGGACCCGGTTCGGGTTATGCGAGCCAACAGCAACATCTGCGTATGTCACAAAATGTGGCGTTGTATAGTAAAGCGAGTCGATCCTATGCCCAGGCGAAAGTGTATGATAATGCAATCGGCGGTGGTGGAGGAAGCAGTACTCGTTTGGGTGATTCCACCTATACAACGGCGCCAACGCCAGGTTCGGCAGCCGCCGCTGCAGCTGCAGCAGCTCAAATAGCAAGCAAGTAAGTGGCAGTAAATGGTTGGTTGTAGATATGTTTAGACATTAGGGTCTTTACTAGTTGACAAGTATATAAAAGCAGGTGTAATCCACAAAAAATATTCCATTATACGAATGCAAATCAATTACATCGTTCAATTTTATTTTTATTTTTAATTTGAATATGAATTTGAATTTGAATTTGAATTTGAATTTGAATTTGAATTTGATTTTGAATTTGAATTTGATTTTGAATTTGAATTTGAATTTGAATTTGAATTTGAATTTTAATTTGAATTTTGAACTTTAAAATATAAAAATAAATCAAAAACTGAAATTAAAGTTAGAAAACCTACATTGTAATATTTAAATGAAAATTAAATAAAAAATTAATTAATTTTAAATTGGATATACAGGGTTCAATAAGAATAAAATATAAAAAAACCAAAAATTTGAAGTAAATTACCTACACCCTAAAGAAGACATATATACATAAGAGAGTAATTTTTTTATCCAACTGTACTGGAAGTATGTATGTAAAGAACTTAGTAATAAAATGTTAAAAAGTCAGGAAGGAAGTCTGTTCCTGCTATCTATTTTGCATACAAATGAAATGTAAAACGATAGAGAACATTGTAGAATTTGCTAGGACAAGCATTGTTTGACTGAGTTTACTACATTTAGTAGCATTCGACGGGATAACTGTATGTATGTGCGTTTTTTATGCTAAAGTATTGAGTAGACGCGACATTCATTTTAATTTGTTAATTCAATGAAATAAGCGCGTGTTGTGCCGAGTTCAATTTAAATTGAGCGAAAACAAAAATGTTATGCTTAACGGTTATTAAATTTGTATGTGCAGATAGATACGGAAAACACCCTTTGCTTCCAACCCTTACATTTTGCAGATAAGATTAAAGTGACTTGCTTGAATGAAAGGGTGCATACATATACATAAAAGTTAATTATATAAATACTTAATCATACATTATTCTCACTTGTTTCTACAGTTTATTTCACACACTTTCTTCTCTTTCTTCCTTTTGCTGCCTTCCTTAGATCATTCGAGGAGTTAGCCATATTCCCCAATGGCACGGTTAATGAGTCCTATCGTCCACTAACCATATCTCTATATCATTTGCATTTGCATCGTTGGTTGGAAGTCTTCCCGCGTGAGCAATTACTCGTTGTCAACGGTGATCGATTAATTGAGGACCCCGTTTCGCAATTGAAGCGCATCGAAACGTTCTTAGGTAAGTTGTTACTTCGTTAGTTGGTTATGTAAGTGTGTTGGTGTTCTGGGAGCACCAGTGGCTCTGGCGGCGAAGGTGTAGGCTACCAAGTACCAAGTGAAAGCACGAGCACCCACATACTACTCATTAATCTAACTTACTTTGCTGCCTATATAATTACTTCCTGTCTGCCACAGTGTGAGCGTGTGAGCGTTTCAATGTAACTATGTGTGTGTGGGTGTGTGCATATTGTTACATTTTGCTAATTGTGTTGCTCTAATTTGATTAAAGTGTATTGTAGATGTGTGCTTAAGTACATGGCTATATAGCCACCTATATACGTATGTATATAGTACGTTTATCTTTTATTATATCAGCTCTTTCATTACATATCATATGTAGGAGTACATTAATCTATATACTCGTATATACTTAGATATGTTCAGTTATATGTGGGCAGGCAACACGTGATTACTCCTTATTGGTATTTAGTTAAATGATAAGCGTTGTAGTCGAAGCTAACGCTCTCCCACTCATATCTATAGCTAATTCGATTCAATGATTCGGAAAGTGTGACTTAAATAATGTTAGATAGAAATTTTCTTTTCTCGGCGCAGTTACGTAGGTATGCATTAAGTTTACAGAATGATTAGTGATATGTGACAGTAATTTATTAAGTTTTGTAGGATAAAAAAAAATCCATAGTCGTGCCTGCAAATTAAACAAATGCATAGAAGAATAAATTCTTTTCACTAGAATTAATATATAAATAAAGTAATAATTTTTTTTATTTTTTTTTTATTTTACTTCATTTTAATTCATTTTATTCTCTTAATTAATTTTATTTTATTTTATATTATTTTATTTAATTTTACTTTATTATAGTTAATTTTATCTTATTTATTAATTTACTTATTTTGTCTTATTAATTTTATTTAAGTTATTTTATCATTGTTGGTGTCACACCCTGGTTATGCCTGCTGATTATTCGAATTAATTGTAATTTTGAGATGGACTACTACTGATATATACAATATATATAAATATATGTTAGGTCGAGTCGTAGTCGTTCGGTTATTTTTCTTGAATTTTCAAAATATGGTAACTTTATGTTTATTTGTCCGATTTAAGTCAAATGTGCGCCGTTTTGTTCGTAAACTCGTCGCCAACTTTATTATACCCCTCTCGAAGAAGGTTGTGTCCCTTTTGGCAAAAAACTCGGAGAGCCAATCATCACAGGCCTCTCTTGGGGCCCCCTTCTTACCATTAAGCTTGTTCGCCATGGACAGGAAAAGATGGTAATCACTTGGTGCCAGGTCTGGACTATAAGGTGCGTGCATTTGGATCTCCTATTCGAGCTCCTGGACCTTCTGGCGCATCACCAAAGACGTGTATGGCCTGGCGTTGACCTGTTGGAACACAATTCGGCCTGTGTTGATGGATGAGTGCTACCTACCCTCTTGTAGATGCCCGAATTGAGCTATTCAGGCGTTTGCCAATCCCACCAAATACACAGCAAAAACTGGTGTATCTTTCATATCGAAATAACCGGTACGGAACCTAGCAACTTTGTTAACAGTATCGGGCCCATACACTAAATTAATTTTTTCAGCCGCTTTAGCTACTTTTTCTCCTTAATCGAAGAAAACATGTAAATATAGAAAAAATTTTTCTTTGCTGGTGTCCATCTTTGACGAGCGCTCACCACGTACTGATCCAGTCAATCGCAAAAATGTAAAAGGCAGATTTTTAGCGCAAATAAATACGTTTCCAGCGCGGTATAAAAACCGAACCGAACGAACTTTTTACTTGACCTAATATATAATATATACATAAAATAGAACGATGTGCCATTCATCTAGAAGTTTGATGTGATACCCATAGTCACGTATATATAATTCTCCATTAGAGGGACTAGAAGTAAAGGGTTCAAAATAGGGTTTTCTAAAAAAGAAAAAAAAACTTTTAGTACTAATTGACCTTTCATGAAGGATTTTTTTGTTTTGAGAAAATATTCCTGGTGATTTTCCCAACCTAATAATTCTTTCTTAAAGCTGAAATCCCTATATAATTTTTTTTATTTATGTTTTATTATGCTTAAATTAACTTTACATAGCTTATTTTTTTAAAAACTGAACTGTTCAAATATTTTTACTTGTCAGTTCTATATAGTCGGTATGTATGCATAAACAGAGGAGCATAATTAAATATCCCACCAGCCATCACTAGCAAATCTGAGTAATTTTTAATTAAATTTACAGGCCTACGTGTCTGTGATATTTGTGTATTTAGCGACCAAGTTATTTGACTTATGTATTATATATAGTTATATGTATATAGGTTGTCATTTACACATATGCTTACGTTAGATGTAACTTAATGCTGATGCCTGAGATGAGATTTATTTGTCGAGAAGACATTGTCTTCTATCTAAATATATATGTATGTATATCAGTTTTTTACTTTGAACTCTTGCAGCATCGTAATTATTTGAACTAAATTAAATTCAATTTATTTGGTGAGGGACTGAATAACTGAAATTCATATCACATGACTTCTCAGAAGCCATTCAAATTAGACAGATTTACCTTGAAATTTGACGCACATACAGAATCCTCAAGAAAATTTAAAGCCTGTTTTTAAAAGTGCGCCAATCTTTCAGATAATTGCTGTTGTTAAACAACATATGAATATCCTTTCAAATAAATATCCAGTTTTGGAAAGAGCAACTATTTTCTAAATTTCTCACATTTATCCATTGTAGGCCTTAAATACGATTTTTAGCGGTCCAATATTCTTTCAAAATATATCTCATTATTACAGCTAGAAACATGCAAGGACCAACCTCTAAGGTGGATCGCATGAATGAGGGTGTAAATTCATAAAAGTGGCCACTGATTCCAGTACAATCGATTTTTGATAATATACAATTTGGATTTATAGAAGTTTTATCGTAGAAGCTTAGTCTACCAGATTATAAGATTACAGAAAGAGCAACCGAGTGGTTAGCATTCCGTACCACTATTCCGAAGGCCAGTGTTATTATCCTGGTACAACCAACATCCAAAAATTTTATAGAAAAATAATATAAATAAATATCAGGTGTACAACTTTGCTTCCGTCGTTTTCCGTTAGGTGGCCTTACCGGCTGAGGCTGGTTGAAATACATATATGATAATGCCTTTAAAGTGAGTGTGGACAGTGCCTAACGAATTGTCGTCGCCGTTTCAGTGACAGCTGTTCTTGTTTTCGTATTATTCACGCTCGAAAATGTCCGTTTATGTGCCTAAGTTTTACTTTTCTGTTACAATTCGAAAAAAAAATGCAGCTGAAGCGCATCGAATGCTCTCAGAAATGTACGGTGATGCTGCTCTGAGTGAAACAACGATTTTCAACGTTTAAAAATGGTGATTTCGATGTCGAAGACAAACATGGTGCATTGCTTGATAAAGATTCGTGCCAAACCCAAGAACAGCTTGCCGAATCGTTGGGAGTGAGTCAGCAAGCCATTTCAAAACGTCTCAAGGCCCTGGGCATGATTCAATATCAAGAGCGACATGACAAAGTCATCCTCCAACACGACAATGCTCGGCGTCAGGCGCAAAAGTGTTCATAAAGTACCTGGAAATGCTGAAATGGGAAGTCTTGCCCCACCCGCTGTATTCCTCTGATGTCGCCCTTCTGACTTCCACCTATTCCGTTCGATGACACACGGCCTGGCAGATAAACATTTTCAATTGGTAAAATGGATTGCTTCATGGATAGCGTCAAAAGAGGACTCTTTTTTTCGAGCCGCGATCCGAAAATTTGCCGAAACGATGGCAGAAAGTTGTCGCTAGCGAAGGACAATACTTTGAATAATATATCTGTAAGCACTTTTTCTCAATAAAGCTTTTAATTTAGGAAAAAAAACGGCGGAAGCAAAGTTGTACACCTGATAAATTAAATTTTCTAATTGTGGTCGCCTCTCTGGAGGTAATGTCAACCCCTTCGAAAGCGTCTTAGTAAAACCGTAGGTCCCGCCATTTGTTGGAAAAACATCAAAACGCAAAAACAAAAATTATAGGAGGAACTCGGCTGAAAATCGCTTCAGCGACTACAAAGCGCCGATTATATATATAAGATGACGGATCATAGGAAGGACATGAGAGGAGTCCGTTAGTAGATGTTATTTAGCTTTCCTTTCATTTTCTTTACTCGAATTGAAAAAAACAAACCTGAGTAGGCTTAAATCGAAAAATGTTATATGAGATAATTTGCATAAATTTAAGTAAATTCCTTGCTCTGCCTGAATTCGTAACGTGAACTCTTCTTGTAACTGCTGTAACTACAAATTAACAATGCATTTTCTGCCACTTGGAATGCCACCACACAATATGCCCAATTAACTTTACCTAGAATATATTTGTTGTACAAACGTATGTACATACATATGTACATATGATATGCAGACACATACTTGCTCCAGCCTCAACTAAATTCTCTTTTATCTCTCTCTTTTTCGCTTTGCATACAATTATTATGGACTACCGCATTGCCGACACTTTGTGCTCCATTTTCAACTGTCTGTGCTGCAAATCGCCAACCAAACAACTAACCAAACAACCAACACAATGCTACCTGCTACCTGCTGCCGCTTCCAACTGCCAACTGTTGCCAACTGCAACGCATTAAACTTTCATATTGCGGCCTTTGCAATTACTTACTCGTACATCGGCTGGCCGGTCAACTGCAACATACCAATTCCAACTCGATTTGTAACTTCACACCGCACAACAACACCAACAACCAACAACTACCAACAAAAAAAATACAAAAAAAAACAGGCACTGAGCATCGTGTGACCAACAGTCATTTTTACTTCAACGAGACAAAGGGCTTCTACTGCTTACGCTACGACAATGGCGACCGTTGCTTGCGCGAGACGAAAGGAAGAAAGCATCCGCATGTTGATCCTGTGGTCGTGTCCAAATTGCGAAAATTCTTTGCCGAACATAATCAACGATTCTATGAATTGGTTGGTGAGGATCTTGGCTGGCCGGAGGAGTAAGTGGGCGATGACGGTGGTGTTGGCGGTAAAGGAGTACGAAAATGAAAAGAACGCATGTGTTAGCAGGTGTGTATGTGTGTGTGTGTGTGTGCGTGAAAGTGTAGCAATTGCCGGACAATTGTTTTAAGCTGTCATGCATACACTCTCATGCACCTGTGCGTTTGTACAAAATCGCCCCCAACAACAAGCCGTAGAAGAAGCGTTGGAGTAGCGGTTTTTTTGGTAACCAATAGTCGGTAGCTGTAATTGAGAATTAAGGACTGAAGGGAAAACAAATATATGTTGAACATTAATGGTTAATACAATTATAATTTCAGTTCGCACAGGTATGTACTATGTATAAGTGTCTATATTTAAGTCATTTGCGCGAAGTTGTGGTGCACATAAAGCAAACTACTTATGTAGATATGTATGTACGAGTATATGAGTATAAATACTCGTACAAACAGTTATAGATGTGTATTTTTGAATTTAAGTAAATATTTTTAATAAATAAATGTCGGTAAGCGGTCGTATGTATATAACTACATAAGTAAGTATATGAATAACTCGGTGTCGTTACGTTATATTTGTGTGTGTGTTGCTGTTTGCGTGGGTATGTGCGCGTGTATTGCATTTGATTGAGTATATGAAAATGGATGGTGTGTATATATATAGATGCTTGTACTTGTGTAAAAATCCCAACACTTTTTTACAATTGTTTCACGGTTTTTTTGATAAATAAAATAGTAATTTGAAAATAAGGTTTTTTTTGATGGGAAAGTACAAATTTTAAAATTTTCAATAATTTTCATTTTAACTTTTTTTTTATTAATTTGGCTTTCACATTTGACTGTGTACAGAAATAATTTAATTTCAATTGACTTTTGCTCAAATACAGTAAATATGAGGAAAAAATTAAGAATTTATTTTTTAAATAGTTACTTGATGCACACTTATGATTTGAGCTGTTTTTAACAAACAATTCAAGAATTTAAATTTTGCAATCTCTGTGCTTAACATTAGAGTGAAATCACTTCCTTCTCCTCGACCGAAAATAAATTGTATACTTTATTTGGTATCTTTTAAGAAAAATAGAGAAAATAATATTTTTTTGCTCGTCAAGACCTATATAACCACTTAATTCGCTGCATAATGGAGTGACATTGACCGTCACCACACATACATACATATTTAAATGTCATACAGTTCAGTGTTCCATCATTTGCCTTATTCACCAAAAATCTTACGCAAACCCTTTCTCTCGAAGAAAGTTCATGTGGTACCCAAATATCAAGTTTTTTACCAGTCCATGACGTCGTATATGAATAGTTGATTTGGTATTCTCAACTTCTTACCAATCTCACGCTCAGTTACATGAAGATCCGATGTGAATAAAGCCTTGATATCGTCATCTGGCCGACCTGAACGTTGCTTAACTTTGAGTGTGAAATCTCCCGAGCGTAATTAGCCATACCAACTCCGACACTGTGTTTCTTTTAAGGCCTTATCAGCGTACAAATTATATTATATAGTATTATACAACTTTTTTCGCAAACTGCTTAGCATTTTTTATCGCCGTCTGTGTGGAAAATCACCGTTATCTTTTGGGGCAACCCAATATTTTTACATCTGTATCTCAGCGTTTACAAAATGCATGTTCTAGGATTTAGCACAAATTTATACATACATACATATTGATAAATGTGCAAGAAAAAAATCATACATACATATATTGACACACATATGCAAATAGAAAACATCAACATAATCCCATCAAAGAGGAAGTCGCTTTGCAATAACTCAAAAGTGTTGCTGGCAAAATCCTTTCGAAGAATTTATGTATATATGTATGTATGCCTTTAAATGAATGTTTCCAATATAACAGCAATCATTTGTATGTATGTATGTGTGTATGACTGCGAAAAACTACGCATATACCAGTATGTATCTGCTCACTTTTATGCATACACTCTGCACATATTTATATGTATGTAAACGTGTGCATATGAAATTGTTACACCGAATTTAATAGGAATCCCTGCATTTTATTACTTTTCGTTAAAAGGCAAAAATGATTTTTGCACTTCAAAATGAAATCAAATTAATGCAGCAGAAGCAGAAGAAAAGCGAAATAAAAAAATCCAAACAAAAAATCGAATGCGAAAAATCAATTCTGTCACAGTTACTATATACATACATATATACGAGTATATACATATATTTATATACTCGCATATTAAAGAGTTTTATCAAATACACAAGTACTTGCATGTATGTTTGTATAAATATTCCTTACCTTGAGGAGTGTTCGAGTGTTTGTTTGTCTTTGTATGCGTATGAAGTGATTTATTATCAAAATCGAAACTTATACATATCAACAAATGAATTCGAATCAGACTTTAAAAGAAGCTAACGTAAAATACATATCACTTAAAAATAATTACAAATCATACACATATATATGTATACATATCTAAATTCAAGATGAATTAAAATAGAAATTATATTAAAAAAATCCCAAAATTCTATATACATAAATATTAAGCATAAACGAAAATTCAAACCACAAAAATCTCTACAAAAATTTATTGAAAATGAAAGCGCTGCTTTCATATGCATAAAAATTAAATAATCATTAAAAGCCATAAAAATTTTTAAATTCATATAAAAATTTCTGTGTGCATAAAATCCTACATAAACAAATTTCTTCAATACTAAAATATTTATGGTCAAATGATAAATGAAAATTATTATAAAAAATTATCGTAAAAATTTTCGTTTCAAAAATTTATATCACTATTTATCTATGTATAACATATTGTACATATATAAATACAATAATTTATTCCATTTTATGTGCATTCCTGCAATCGTCATAAATTTTTTCGTTGCTGTTGTTCTTGTTATTGCTATTGCATATGCTCATATGCCTTTGCAGCATATTTCATTAAAAATGTGATTCAATTATTATTTTTTTTTTGTGCAGCGAGTAATGCGCTATAAAGAATTAAATTGCATTGGTGAGGTAAATGTTGCTTATATTGGATGTGAGAGCTGAAAAAATTAAAAGGAAGAGGCGAATAGGTCGTAAGTGATGAATTGAACTCGTTACTGGTTTGAAATGTGAACGAAATTTAAATCCTAGATTTTACTAAAAAATTATACAATATTTTGTAAGCAAATAGAATCATATGTTATAATGAAAAATATTATGGGTTATTTAAATAAGTTTTTGACCCGCAAAAAACCTTAAACCTTCATTATTGCAAATTTTTATATATAAAATATACATATTATAAATTTATAATTTTTTTTTTAGCCAAAGCCAAGAAATCTTTTAAAATCATTATTAAATAAACAAAAAGCTTTTGACATATTCATTTTTAAATATTTTTTTTAATATAAAATATTAATAATTATTTTACCCACAATAATCCTTAAACCTGCATTAGACTATATTTTTATAGGTAAAAAAAATATTTAATATAAAATTTTCTTAGCCTTATCCTCAAAGATCAGCCGAAAAGCTTTCATTTTCAAATGAAAAATAGTTTAAATTATTAAAGCAATAAGTCTTTAAATTTACGCATAACAACAAAAACTTAGTGTTTAAATAAAAATTTAAAATTCGATTTAATTTTAAAAACTACAATAAACCCGAAATTCCTCATTAGTACAATTTTTGTTTATAAAATAATATAATTAAAAATATATGAACAAACCATTGAGAAGCAATATCAATTATATACTTTTCGAAAGTAAACCATAAACTCCAAATTTAAGCCTATATATTGTACATAGGTACATACATAAGTAAATTTATGTATTTTACGTACGTGCAAACCAAATGGTTTTTATTTAAACAACAACAAAGAATATTAAGGAAAGGAAATTCAAACGATTTTGTGTATAAATACAAATTAGTTAATATTTAATATGCATGTGTAATTTGTAAAGTTTTATACCATTTACCATAATTTACATAATTATTAATTAAAAAAAAATAATCTTTTTTGTTAAAATCAAATATGTAATATAATGAAATAAATTATATAATATAAAGAGTGAAGAACTTTTTAAGCAACTAAATGTGATTTTCTAGAAAGTAAGTGAATATGTTTAGCAAGAAAGAAATTAGGAAAGTAGCACTGAATAAGAAGAGGCTATTTTATAAAATGCGACCAAAAATATTAGAAAAATATATACATATAAATATTAATGACTTTGACAAAAATAGAGAATTTGAAGCTACAAAAGAAAGGTGATGAAATGTGTGAGTTAAAATTAGCATACTGAAATTCAAAAAAAAAAATACAATATAAAATTAAAATAAATATATATTTAAATAATATAATCGAAATAAGCATATATTTAAATAAATATAACTAAAATAATTTAAAAAAAAAATAAACTAATTGAAAATATAAATAAATAGAATTAAATCAATTTTTAAAATTCGCTAAGGAAACTTAAAATGAAAAAATAACATAAATAGACAAAAAAAGATGAATACAAAAAATTAACTTAAAAGGAAATCAAATTAATTATTTAGAAGTAAAAAAAGCATATAAAAATTAAAATAAATAAGTATTAAAATAAAATTAGTAATAATAAATTAAGCAAAAACCGAAAGAATAAATAAATAAATAAAATTGAAATAAAAAGTTAAATAAAAATAAAAAATAAAGTGTAATATTTAAGTTATTAAATAAATAGTTTAAGCAGTCTTTCAGCTACGCCTAAAAGTCAAAGGCATTAAAAATGGAAAAAATAAAATTTTTCTCTTTAACTACAAAGTTCAAAATGCAGTTAAATATGTACTTTTAATAAACATCCTCCTACAAAAGAAAAAACCAAGAATTATCTGGTAAACGGCGTAATGCAAACAGAAACATATCAAAATTTAGGCTGAATAAAAGGTGTGCATATACATACATATATATCTAGTATTAATTTAAGTAGTAAATACAGAAATTTTTAAATATAGAAAAGATTAAAGTCTAATTTGAAAGTAAGCTTAACTTTTAGAAATACATACATATTTATAGCAACTGGATTAGTGCTATTTTAGAGCAGATCTATTAATATGACATAGTATGCATATGCAAATATGTATAGAAGAGCTAAGTTTTTTCGAAATTATTAGCGGTAAAAATTAGAAAAATTTATATAAATGTGACATAAAATGCGCACACATATTTTTTTTCATACACAATTTTTTTAATATATTTTTTATTTATTTATTTTTATTTATTTTTTTTTTATTCCTTTTTTATATTTTTTTTTTATATATTTTTTGAAATTTATTTTTTTTACTTTTTACTTTTTCGCATATGAAAATTGCAATTTTTTTATAAATATTTATTAAGCATAAAACTATAGCATAATATTACAGTTAAAACCAAAAACAAAAATATTTATACTCAGCTTTTTTGAGTGTGTACAATTTGTGACAAGCGAAACAT